AGCTTTTTTAACACTTGGATGACCCAAACCAATATGCAAAAAGCATTAAAATTTCTAATTACTATGAAATAGATTTATTTAGAGTGGACTCCAACTGCATTCCAACTCTTCTACAGCATATTTCAAACAATCCATCTTTCAGTAGAGCTGTAATAAGTACTCATTTCCAGTAGTAATAATTTTCTGAATTTATGATTGAATGTCAAATGTCTCACTAAAACCACTTTTCTTACCAGGTCTTTTGAGGCATGATGTAAAGAATACCATTGTGGACTCATAAAATCTTTCCAGTTATAAGAGAGACCTAGTGTCCATGCTTTCAAGACTGTTCCTGCATTTATTCAAACAACTGCTTTGTGTAAAAAATATATTTAAATTAATGGAGTCAAGAGTAGAACTTAATCTTCCATTACAGATAATAGAAATTTTCTGTTTTCATTTTTTTTATTATTATTTTTCCTTACTTCTCAATGCTTTAAGACATTAAAACAAAGCTTAAGACAACTGTTTTCTGAAGTTGGGCACAAGAGGATGGCAGAGGGTCCTCCCTGTATTAGAAACATGGAGATTAAGCCACTGAACCTGTGGAATGCATGAATGTACTAAGGTTTCTGCACCCTAGGCTAATATAGAAAGGATTTTTTTCCTAACTATGTTTTTTAAGAAAAGTGAGGTGTTGTTTTTTTTTTGTTTTGTTTTGTTTTTTTTTTTTGTTTTTGTTTTTTTTTTTTTGTTTTTTTTTTGTTTTTTTTTTTTCTGAGAAGGTGGAGAGAATGGGGATCCCCAACCCTGAAAACTATGTTAGATAGATTTCAAAAAGATCCAGTAGATAAAGCTTTTATAAGGAGTTTTGATGAAAGAGCACCGTGTTTCTGGATTCAAAAATCTGTGGGGCTTTTAAGTCAGATACTGATGAAATTGGGTGTTGCATACTGAGAGTTCCAGAGCAGGGTATTTAGGATCAATTAACAACTGGATGTCAAACTTTACATGTGCCCGATTTGATGTGCCCAGGACCTTTCATGTATTTGTCATTCCAGGCTCAGATTTGATTTATAACAGATACTCTTCCTCCTGGGCTGCAAACACAGAGCACTTTTTCCCCTCTGTTAATGTCTTCCATAGGAAAGTGTTCTCTACGTGTAATTTTGATTAGAAGTTTTGGAGCAAGAAGCACAACCACATGAAAAAACATAGGTCTCCATTTAAGAATATAATTTATTCTTTCTAAAACTACTTCCTGTATAGCTGCATTTGATTCGGACAGTGCTAGAACAGTCAATGAGATCATATCGGAAGTGAGGCATTAGATGAGAAAAGACAATCAAGTTGTCTTCCCTTTGATTTTGAACTTCCTATCCTGCTAAATGCAAATTTCTCATACATTGTATGTTGGAGCTGAAAAAAGTTCTGTTACATGTTGTGTGTACCACTCCTCTTTTGACCTAAATAATCTGAGATAGAATTTGAAACCAGGGATTATCCATTGATAGAATCAACAAACAGTGTATTGAACCTTCAGCGTTACTGGTATCGTTTTGTATTTTTTGAAATAAGATAGCTAATGCCAGAAAGAAAAAACTAGATAGTGCAGTGTGGAAGAACTAAAGGCAAACTGAAACTGCTGAACAAGTGAAAAGGAAATCCCATATTTTACCCTAAAAAATTTTTTATAAAAGCTTTGTGAGAAGTTTTATTTTCTGTAAGAAGAAAATTAAAGACCCCATCTGGTCCTTCTTTCTATTAATGAAAGCAAGACCAGGTGAGGAACACATGCATTATTATTATTGTGTTGACAGATATTTTCATTTAACATATATATAAATAACAAACATTTAAATATTCAATTCAAATGAGTTTAGAGTGAGATGTTTAAATAAAGTCATACAGTGACAAACTGCTGAGCTTTATGATACTGTGGGCTACAATGCCTGTCTTAATAAAATTATTTGCTCCTGAGACCAATTATATCTTCTGCATGAAAGGCAATTTAAGAATATAGCTTGAGTTTTAGTGATTTCAGAACACTTCCAAATCACAAGGGAATAAAATTGCTTGATTGATAAGAATTAATGCATCTTATTTTTTTCTTTATGATGACTTGAAAAATCAGGGATTTTTTTCTAGTTCTGTTAGATGTGTTTCTAGTTCTGCTAGATGTGAAAAAAAAGAAGTCAATCTGGGAAGGAAAAGTACCACTCATAACATCTGACCAGGAGTGTGTCCATTTTTACATTAAAAAGTGATGGATTTTTGTAGGGGTTGTCACAGACATCTCTCAAATGCTTTGCATGGTTTTGTTAATAAAGAAATTGTAATCAGTTCCACTTTATTAAAATTGAAAGTTTAAATTTAATTACTTTGACATATTAAAAAGTGAAATAAATGAGTAGCTATGTATAACTAAGCATATTCTCTCTGAGTAAATGGATCTATAAATATGTCTAAAAGCCTTTTAATTATTTAAAAATAGAAATGACAAATCTTCCTGCTGCTTCTTAGGGTATAAGGGTAATAGTTGATTAGCCTACAGGTTAGTTATACAAGTTCCTTAGAGTTGAATTTGGCAAGAGAGTAAAGGACTTGAACTGAAATATCTCTATGTTAATGTCTACATGTGGAAGGTGTCTAAGCTCTCATTAGGTAAATACAATGCCAACCAACACACTAAATTGAGCCTAGTAATTCATTTTGCTTACCAGCCAGCCAGTAGCAATGCAATTCACTTGCTTAGGCATATCCTGGGGCATCTGAGAATGGAATTGTCAGATATGTCAAAAGATCTGTTGAAAGTTACTCCTTTACAGAGCAAGAGGTGAATTAACTGAGTGTGGCATCTATGTTGCCTCATACACACATAATTTAGATGTCTTGGTTTCCTTTTGGTCTTCAGACCAGTGTTGGGGCTGAATTCAGCAACTCAGCTGCCTAAAATATAAGTGTCCAGAGCCATATGAGATGTCCTAGGGTATATGAACAACTCCAACATGTGCTTGGCAGACCTAACTCATAAAGTCTACAGAAAATGTTTTCCCTTTCATTTTACCAATGAGAGGTAAACTATTTTAAGACATCTAAATGTCACTATATTCCTGTGTTTAAATAATCAAATCAACAATTAAGTCCTTGGAGTTCAATCTAGCTCCCTACTTGTAGGCATCAAGTGGCATTTGATATTGACAAAAGCCCATGTGAGGCTATTGGAGATTACATATGACCTGGGGCCTTCTGGATCAGCAGCTAGATTGAATGCTGGGTGGTATATCTCAAATGACCCTAGGCACCCAAGTATGGCCAACTGAGTCATAAGTTACATGCCCTAAGAGTTCCAAAATTACATGTGTAGGGATAGTTCCTGGGCCACAGTTTGCTTGCTCAAGGACTAAGAATGACCAAGAGTACTCACAAAATAGGTGTCAACCTTTGCTAGGAAAAAGCCACTAAAGTGTAATTTTTATTTAGAGCAATAGAACATAGGCTGTTCTAAAACCAAGGAAAGAGTCTTTTTGTTGAAGGAGATTTTGTTATTGCAAGTCAGAAGTTCTCTGTTACTTCATGGTGCAGAAGTAATAGGGATACCTGGGGTGATCTTGGTACTACAACTTTTCCATGACTGCTATTTTTGTGAGTCTTGCCATAAGGGAAGCTATTCCCCAGAATTTTTCATGTGTGGGTGACAAGGTACTGCTATAGGGTTAGATGTTTAATAAAAAGTAATGGTAAAGGACATATATCCTAGACTATATTTAATGTGAAATGCAATATTCCCAAAAATAAAATGTAAAGGTACATTTGACTGTTGAAGGAAAGTGAATAAAGTCAAGTAAATAATTTTAGAAAATATTTTTGTAAACTAATTTTTAGTTTATAAAGACATACTGCTTGTACCATTAGAACTAGCAAAAAACCCACCATTCCAGGACATAAGTTTCAAATCATGAATTCTGTCCAGAACAGAGCATGGATGTTTAAGGAAAACAGAAGAACAATCTATTAATGGTTTTTTTTTCCCTTTTCAAATATCCAACAGTAGAACACACATGAGATGAAAAGCCAAAATTACAAAAATCTGTCTTTTGTTTGACTAAAACATGATTTGATCAATTTCCATTATTTGTTTTCTTTCTGAAGCAGGAAGGAATAATACTTGCAGTTATTTGCTAACAGATGCATTCCTCAGTTTCAAAAATAGGTAAATGAGTATTCTTTGATTCATTAAGAAATTTTCCCTAAACAGTTCCGTCATATCTGTGCTCGGTTTCTTTAAGCATTTCACTGTTGTGAAAATACAAAGCCTAGGGAAATCTGAGACTGACAAACTGTTACTATCTCTCCTCAATTTCCCCTGATGGATTTAAATAACACTATGCAATCAAAATCAAAAGAGGTTGCTTGATAAATATGTCGCTTATGCAATCTGTGTTAACATTTAGTATCTCAGTGTCTGCCAAAGTGTCTCGATTAATCAGTTCTATTTTTACATATAAATAAAGTTTGTCTGCTGCTTTAAATTCTCTGATACATAAGCGTCCGTCACTTTCTAAAGTTCAACAAAGAGATGGATTTAGCAAAGCATCTCATGACAAAATCAGTATCCTTGGTTACATCATTCACCCACTATCTTTCTTGAGTAACTGTAATCTATAGAAACAATGCTAAGTATGAATTAGTCCCAGTTACTCATCCATTAATATAAATAGTTAATTTTATAAGATGTAGTGCCATTAATATGTGATTTCAAAGCTGATTTATTACAATAACTTTAGGGATAGAATTAACCACCACTGAGATTTTGAGCTGGACAGTGGAAAGCATTTCAGAGAAAAGAGAAATTATAATTTCAGCTAATAACGTTCAAATTTTCAGATTACTGTCTATTTTATAATTTATTATCTTCTTCTGGTAAACAGTAAAAAAGCTACTTTAAGGATTTTAATGGCTGTATGTTGTCAGACTTGAGTTTCATCTGTAAGCACCCATTTATTTGTCCTTGCACTTACCTGTGTGGAAAGATGTTTTATATTCTGTGAGTATTCTGGTTTTCTTTAAGGCATCCCCCTGAACAATATCATCATTATCCATATTTCCAAATTCCTGAAGAGCTGTATTGCTTTCTAAGTTCTTGAAGACCTGTATGTTTTGTGCAGCTCTCAGTTTGTCACCTGAGGTATCTGCTCATCCGAGTACTACATTTTTTCAGATATAGCCTTCCTGCTGTGTGATTTAAGCAGATCACAAATCCCTAGATTTACTATAATGCTGTAGGGAACACACTTGTGCTTTTTTTTATTTTATTTTTTTTCCCCTGTGTTTGTGTGCATGAAACACAATTAAATAAACTGAGAAGTAAACATCCATCTAGGTAGATGGTGGATGTATACAACTGGTACAACTGTGGTAGAATATAGGAAGGGATCAGTGTTGAGGCTACTATTATTTTATTTTACTGTTATTATCTTGGCCACATCTGAATGTTTATGCACATCTGTGGTGAGTTGAACTTGGTTGGCTGCCAGACACCCACCCAGATGTTCTTTTACTCCCCCTCCTCAACAGGACAAGGGAAGGAAATAAGATTAAAAAACTCATGGGTTGAGATAGACAGGGAGATCACTTATCAATTACTGTTAAAGGCAAAACAAACTCAACTTGTAAAATTAATTTAATTAATTGTCAATTAAAAATAGGGTGGGATGGTGAAAAACAAACACAAAACCTTCTTCCCAACCTCAATTTTGATGCTTCATTCCTGGATCCTCTACTCTCCTCCCCACATAGTAGTGCAGGGGAATGGCGAACGAGGGTTGTGGTCAATCCGTAACGGCTCCTCTTTGCTGCTCCTTCCTCCTGACATGTCTGCCCTGCTTCAGTGTGGGTCATTCCCACAGGCTGCAGTCCTTCAGGATAAACCTGCTCCTGCATGGGGCATCTCTGCCCTCATGCCTGGAGCACAGACCCCACCTCCTTCTTTTATTTTGGTGTTTATAGGGTTCTCACACTTTTTTACCTCACTCTTCACACTTTACAGGTCAGTGTTTTGCCCTTTCTTATATATGCTTCCCCCTGAGGCACCACCAGGGTGTCTGTGGGGCTGAGCCGTGCCCTGCGGTGGGTGGGTCGGAGCCGGCTGGAACCGGCCGTGTCCGGCGTGGGGCAGCCCCGGCCTCCCCTCACAGAGGCCCTGCAGCCCCGCTGCCAGCTCCTGGGCACAGGAACCCAATATAACACCTCTTACTTAAAACTTAGTTTCAGTAAAAGACTGTTAGACATGCAATGGAATTGTGTCATTTGATTTGCCTTATAGAACAGCTATTTACAAAGAAGTGTTCTCACATGATGAAAGAATAAGAAGAAAGACATTTGACAGATACTAAAGGTACAGAGTTTCTAAACATTTTTTTTCAGCTGAAGCATTTGCTAATATTAATGAAATATTTTAATTTGATGAAGTGAAGCTTTTCTTACAGACAGGTAGCTAATTATTTCCAGAGCACTTTATGTCAGATCTTGTTTTCCATCTGTTTCTTGGTTTAGGTGGGTGGTTGTTGTCAGAAAACTTGTTACATTTAAGCAAACAGCTTAATCTCATTTCAAAATTAATATTTAATATTAAATGAACCAGTCTGCATTTTCTGTGCACTGGCTGGAGAACGGGACCCTGAAAACAATTTTCCCTTGAGAACCATTTTTAATAAAGACAATAATATAAAGCAGTAATGTCTGAAAGTCATTAATATGCCCATAGAACAATTTGTAACTATAGCTAGAATGGTTTAACTGGAAAACAATATGAAGATTTCTTTACGTGTTGAAATGCATAAGCTTAAAACCATTTTGCTTTCTACATTGTCTAGCAGAAAGCAATCATCCTGGTGTCAGACCCCAGACCCCTTTTGAGTCCAACTGGAAGATACCATGGCTAAAGCAGAGACACCTGTTTCAGACATTAATGTCTTTAAATAAACAAGTGTATTTTATCAGAAATTGGGGGGGGGGGCGGGGGAAGCCTCTGAATTGCGCTCTCCGTTGATGAGGTTGAAGTGTTTGAACCAATGATTCTATTATTTATTCCTAATCCTTTCTCCTACATATCTCCTGCAGCTCTAGAAGAGGGTGTTGTGCAAGTTTGGGTGACCTCCTCATAAAGTTCAACAAGGCCAAGTGCACATGGGTCAGGGCAATCCCAAGCATAAGTACAGGCTGGGCAATGAGTGGATTGAGAGCAGTCATGCAGAGAAGGACTTCAGGAAATTAGTAGATAGAAAACTGACTATGAGCCAGCAATGTGTTCTCACTGCCTAGAAGGCCAACCGTATCCTGGGCTGCACCAAGAGCAGTGTGAGCAGGTCAAAGGAGGTGATTCTCCACCTCTACTCTGCTCTTACGAGACCCCCACCTAGACTCCTGTCTTCAGCTCTGGGGCCCCCAACATAACAAGGACATGGACTGAGTGGGTCCAGAGGAGGCCATGAAGATGATCAATGGGCTGGAGTACCTTCATTTTGAGGACAGGCTGAGAGTTGGGGTTATTCAGCCTGGAGAAGAGAAGGCTGCAGGGGGACACTATTGTAGCCTTCCAGTACCTACAGGAGGCCTAAAGGAAAGATGGAGAGGGACTCTTCATCAGGGAGTATAGCGATAGGATGAGGGGTAACAGTTTTCAACTGAAAGAGGGGTGATTTAGATTAGCTATAGGGAAGAAATTCTTTACTGTGATAGTGGTGAGAGACTGGCACAGGTTGCCCAGAGAAGTGGTGGCTGCCCCCTCCCTGGAAGGGTTCAAGGCCAGGTTGGATGGGGCTTTGAACAATCTGGTCTATTAGAAGGTGTCCTTGCCCAAGGCAGTTGGGTTGGAAGTAGATGATCTAGTCCCTAGGACTAGGCCTCTTCCAATTGACTTTAGTAACTAAACAACATGAGAAAACTATATTTAGATATAAAGTTACCTATGATAAATTTACAGCTTATGCAGCCTGAGTTCTCAGAAACTATCCATTTAAAGCTTAGCAGTAGTTCTCATTTCTTTTTCTTCAACCCTAAAGATCATCTCAATAACATCTATCTGCTTCTGTTCGACTTCTTCCAAACATAGTAACAGCATGATACAAATGTTTGTTTCTTTATCTTCATTGGCTCCTCTTCATTGAATAATGTTTGCCAGAGGTTAACATAGTTCATTAAGCACTAGGGAACATGCTGAACATTTGACTAAATCTTACATTTTTAACATTTGAATTGTCATTACAAAAATGGATGTAACAAATTATGGTGAGAGTTATTTTGTAAAATTATACTATCTGTGAATATTTGCAACTGATCTTTATTAGCATAAATGAAACAAGAATAACATTTTGTATGGTTTAGTTGCTTACTACACGTAAGAAGAATTTAGATTCAGTGATAAGTGACAGGACACACAAGTGGGTGGATTCTCTGATATCCCAAATCTGAGTTGCAACACTGAGAGTGTGTGTATATGTTTTGCTTCATTTTTATGAATGCTAGTGTGTGTTTCCTTCCAATTAGACAATCTTGCTGTACGGGGAGTTATTCCCCAGAATTCTTCTGTGTGGGTGACAAAGTATTTCTCCTGGGTTAGATGTTTAATACAAAGTAATGGTAAGGGAAGTATATTTGCCATTATAGTAAAATGCATTATTTGTGGTATAATTTCCAGGAAAAATATAGCATACTGTACTGCTGCATTTTTAATACAAATGAAAAAAAACAAATTCTAGGCATAACTTCTATTACCATAATGATTTAGCCATTTTGTGAACACATTGTAATTTCAAGTTCCGTAAATACATTGTTGTACATTAAATTTTATTCCTGTATATGCAGAATAATTTTTATTATAACCTGGTAAAATAAATGGCAAATATAACATTTTTGTATTCCTTTCTATACAGGGATACATCGATTTTCATTGTACTAACATAGTAATTTAGTTAAATTATTTTGAAATTGCCACAAAATTATTTGGATTTTTTTGACATATATATTACTCATAAATGTCTGCCTTTCAAAAATTAGTTTCAATTTTCCTTTGTTTCTTTTCTTTTCAAATGAATGGGAGATAGACAAGAAAGAAATAAACAGTAAATTACATGTACAGCTCTACTCATTCTTTTACAAATCTGAATTTTTACTGCAGAAATGAAACAAGCTCAAATTCTGAGTATCAGATAGCTAAAATGTTTCCTCTTACTCAGTTTGGGAACCTGAATATTACATCAAGCTTACAATCAAGATAAGGGTACACAATTAAAATTATGGACATAAGACTGTTATTTCTGGAAATGTAAAAAAATAACATGATTTCATCTCTTAGCACAAAATAATTTAACACCTGTGAAATGAATTTATAAACAATCTGTTTGTAGAACAAATGAGATTTTTGATGGAGCCTGAAATTTCATTCTAACAGGTTATAATATTTAAAATCCTAAATCACGTTTAGCACAAGGACTAAGATCCATGGTTAATTTTCCACTAAATTTGCATCAGACAAACCACAAACAAGATTACCTTTTATAGTTGTAAAAGCATGGAAGCTTTCTGAATCTGCTTATGTAAGTAGTTCCACAGAGATGAGTTCCATGAGAGATGAGTGCTATTTAATCAGGGATCCTTCTGCAGCAAGACTTTCATATAAAACATAAACATTGTATTTAAAATGTATTTTTTAAACATTAAAGGAAAAAAATAAAAACAATGATGCCTCAAAGTATATGGGTTTAAAAGTTCATTTAGTATTTTCAGATTGTCAAAGCTGCTTGTGTTTTCAAATAATTTTAAGAGCAGAGGAAGGTATTTGATCCTGAAAACAAAATAAAGTCATTACTATGATGATCTGTATTTGTTTGAATCATCATATTCACATTACTGAAGGTCTTGCTTTACAATAAACATACCAAAATAGGAAGCACAACTGAAATAATTCTTTTGATTATTCCTAAGAAGCCATCAGAATATTGAATATAAATAATATTTCTATTTTTTTCAAGAGAATATTATTTTAATGTGATGTGGAAATTTTGAAAAAATATACCACATTATTATCTGTTGAAGTTATTCAATGGGACTCTTAGATATGTTAATAAGAAAGTGTGAGTTTCAGAAAATTTTCTTGCCTGGCTTATGTT